GATTATATAGAATCTGCTCTCTTTCCTAGTTTTGTAATTATGCTCTGGGAACTCATTAACAGAATAGAGTCTGAAATTTTACGACTGTTCATTGACAGCTATGTCACTATCCGTCTTCATTATTATCAACACTAAACTCTGATATGGTCAGCTGCCTATGATTTAAAAGATTTTTCATCTTCGTTTCCTCCTGTACCGTTCATAGGCTTATTGTCCCAACTGATATGCACATATCTTATTTAAACTATCGTAATATAGCAAGCATGGATTTATCACTGTATAGTCTGATGAAATTATTGAAAACAATTTTTACCTCAAAAATTCCTTGTTTTGAATACTCAATGGGAATTTTCGAATTCGTACAAATTGTCAAAGTATGTTTCCCGTGTGAACTGACCATATATCGTGAATTATTCAACAACTGTCACGCTTGATTGGTGTTCTCTGTTTTCATATCCCTCTGAACTATCAATTACGTTGTCACATATCACCTGCAGTTTTTTTATTCATTTTACTTGCAGAAATATGCTTCAGAAACATTCCAGTCCACCTCTTGGCTTAGAACGGATTCATCGATATTTTTGTTACGTTTGTGGAACTCTTCTTCCACACAAGTTGGAAGTTAATGATTTATTAGTATGCCGAAAATGTAAAATTTCTACATGTATGCATTGGTTCAGTAATATGGATGCAACTTTCAATACTGAAGCCAAATCTAGTAAAATAGGCCAATTTAATAACGATGAGTATGAATCTAATTGCTTGTCGCCAAAAGATATTCCATCACCTCCACGGCCTGTTACATCCAGGCATTAGGGCTACCACTAAACTTATCGCTGAACGCTTTGTTTGACCAAAAATGAACTCAGATATTAGACGCTGGACACGAAATTGTATACAATGTCAGCGTAGCAAGATTCAGAGGCATACTATCAGTCCAATCGGAGAATTTCCTACTCCTGATAAACGTTTTCAGCAAATCCATTTGGATCTAGTTGGGCCAATGCCACCGTCAAACTCTTTCACTCACATTCTCACTATGTTGGCAGGTTCACTCGATGGGCGATTGCATGCCATATCAAAGACACATTGACAGAGACAGTTGCGTCAGTTTTTCTCGACCGATGGATATCGAACTACGGAGTACCTGCAAATATCACTACTGATTGTGGCCCTCAATTTCAATCCATTTTATTTCAGGAATTCACCAGACTCCTTGGGGTCAACCACATCAAAACAACGGCTTATCATCCATCAGCTAATGGCATGGTTGAAAGATTTCATCGCCAATTGTAAAGCTCGCTGACGACTCAAGCTGATCCTACCAAATGGAGCGATGCCTTACCACTCGTACTCCTGGGTATTCATTCCACTATTAAATAAGACATTGGATGCACTGCTGCCGAATTAGTCTACGGTACAACATTAACATTACCAGGCCAATTAGTCAATTGCGAATCTACGACGATAGGAGATCCTTCCCGTTTCGCAAGCCGTTTACTGCAGACGATGTAGAATATTAAACCAATACCCCCGCGACAACATAGCAATCGGGTGCAACTAGATAAAAACCTTGAAACCTGCAAATTCGTTTTTGTTCGAGTTGACGCTGTCAAAAAGCCACTAAAACCACCATACGAAGGTCCTTATAAAGTAATCAAACGTACTCCTAAACACTTTATTATCATTCGAAATGGGAACAAAGAAACTATTTCCGTTGATAGAATTAAACCAGCGTTTTACGAACCGACTCGCCTTAAAGAAGTTAACATCGATAAACAACAACCCCTCCCATCTGTTCCTCAGAAGCCAATGGAAGAGGACAAGTTTCATCTTAAACCGTCTTTAACTCGCTCTGGTAGGTTGGTAAAAAAACCTAAGGGCTACGTACATTTCGCCGACTAACAAAAATTGATTCAATTGCACGCATTTATACTTAAGTTACTCAATTTTCTAATAAAAGCTACTTAATAAGAAAAATTGCCATAGTAATAAACGAGTGAATGCCAACTAACTATTCATCAAAATTCATCCAATTTTTTATTTTATGACTCCATTAACAGTTTTGCACATTTTATTATAATAAGCAAACCAAAACAATGTAATGCTCGTTTTTCAGTTTCATTATGCATAGCACACCCTATACTGTCAACGTGTCATTTATTCCTATCTCCACCATTTGTTGCTCATATTGTAATCAGTGTTACCTCCGGACACTCTGAGGGGGGGAGCTATGTAGAGATAGGACTATAAAATCTATTTTGTAAATAATTTTTCATAGTTTTTGCATGTATTTTGTGCATTTTCATACTCTGTACTTTTTAGCATTAAACAATTGTGCTTGTTGTTTAAGTGTATTACTTTGAACACTTGTAATTTGACTTCCTTCCGTTATTGGGTACAACATATCGCGGCACTGTTACTGCTCCTCAATAAATACGGTCTAATTCACATCTGCATCGTTCTGCCATGTCTGCTAATATGTTAAATGAAATATTCA